TCCTTGTTCTTTTAATGTCACCTCCCCTGAAAGCTACCACTATTGGATTATTTATTGGCCAGTCTTTTTTTTTTTTTTTTTTTGTAATATTGGGGCTGGAACTCAGTACCTTGCAGTTGCAAGTCAGGCGTGGTGCCACTGAACTAAATCCCTGGCCCACAAGTTGTTCTTTCAAAGGCTCACGTTCTTTGTCTTGTTACTTCTCTAAAAGTGTGATATTCTCTTGAGATGTATGATCTCACTTGTATATGGAATTTAAAGTTAATTTCATAGAAATAGTAGAACAGTGGTTTACAGATCAAAGTGTGGATAATGGGGAGAGGAGGTGAGAAACATCCTGAGAACGTGTTTTCACATTTATGCATATGTGTATATGAAATATTTATATTAGTAAACTTCTGAGGGTCAGGGTGTAGCTGAATGGTAGAGCAATGACTTAGCATTCAAAAGATCCTGGGTTTGATCCTTTGCATTGACAAAAAAAAAAAAAAAAAAAACTTCTATCTTTTTCTTTCTCTTTTTGACCTGTCTTTTGTGGCAAAGGTATGTCTGAATGAAAAAACAACCTACAAGGGGGTTTCACCCCATATTCTCATTCCTGAATGACAATGATTCCCTGAGTCCTTGGACGGAAGTTGTGTCCTGGCTCTGTTTTCCTAGGTAAGAGTGCCAGTCCACTTGTGCTGCTACAACTAACAAACATGTTAGGGGCTGGTGGGGAGGCTCAGTGGTAGAGTACATACTTAGCATGCATGAAGCATGCTAAGTTTAATTCGCAGTTCCAAAAGAGAGAAAAAACAAAAACAAAACTAAATTTATAATGAAATATTATTCAGCCATAAGTAAGTCTGAAATCTTGCCATTTGCAACAGGAATGACAAGCTAGAAAGGCATTATGTTAACTGATAAGCCAGGCAAAAAGGATACACATAGCATGCTGCCGCTCATATATGGAATCTGAAAATGTTTATCTCCTAGAATTGGAGCAATTTCCAGAGGGAAGGATTATTGGCAATAGTATGAAGAGATCAAACATGTCCCCCAAAAGACTCATGTGTTCAGAAGTAGGGCTTCTGGAAGGTGATAACATCGTGGGGCACTAACTTTCGTGATGGATTCACCCACTGATGAGTTCACAGCTGAATGTGAATGTGCTGCTAGGAGATGGGGCCTAGTTGAAGGCATCAGGGTACAGGGTTGTAGCCTGCCTCTGGCTCCTGTGCTTCCCAGTGAGCTAAGTAGCTTTTCTCTACCATGCCTTCTGCATGATGTTTCTGTCTTAGAGCCAGCTGACCATGGGCTTAAATCTCTGAAACTGTGAGCAAAAATTAAACCTCCCACCCTTTAAATTGTGGGTGTCAGGTATTTTGTCCCAGCAGTGGAAAGCTGAGGAATATAGCTGGATTCCAGAGTCGGGGTTAGCTGGGAGGGTAGATGGGGAATGTCATCAGAGGACCACAGTGATTACCCAGTGATTTCTATAATCCAGGTGATGATTAGATTGACCACCATTGCCTCTGTAGTGCCAGACTCCTGGCTATCCACAGAATTATAGAAAATGCAAATAGGGACCCTGTAAGAGTGAGGAACAAAGGGATTATACAACCCAGGAAAGACTAAATTGAGACTGGAGTTCCAGCAGGGAATAGTGACACAGAATACAAGTGGCTGCTAGGCTTCTGCCCTGAAAGAGGACAGAACTCAATGCTCTATGGTGTAGAAGTAATTCATTTAGGGCCAAATATTACAGATGTAAAATTTAAACAAGATACTTTGGAAAATGTAAAATTAATTTACATCCCTGTTTTTGAGACATAAGGGACTGAACCCAGAGGCACTCTACTACTGAGTGAGCTCTTCAGTCATTTTTATTTCTTATTTTTAGACAGTTCTTCTTATGTTGTCCTGTAATGCCTAGGCAGAGAGTCCTGCGATGGAATTTGGGGTAGAAAGTTCTGCTGCACTGGATTAATAGCCTGCTTTCTCTGATTTAGGAGGCTACCACCCTGGACCTGAATATTGTATCCTATGTTCCTTTTCTTTTCGAGACAAGCTCAATATACAGTTCAGGCTGGCTGGAAATTCTCAGTGATCCTCCTGCCTCAGCCTCCCGAGTGCTGGGATTACAAGCATGCATCACCACATCAGGCCTGTTTCTTTTTGATGAAAGTGTGGGGAGACATATTGGCAATCAGCAGGCAATGTCCCCATATATATGCTTGCCACAATGGCACTAGTACAGTGGAACTATGAGAAGCAACCAAAGCAAGATGTGTCTCAACACATCTTGAGTGGGAGTGGGTATTATTTTGGTAACTAGGGTGGCTTTGTGTGGCTCATTTCTACAATCTTCCCCAGGTCTGCTGAGAACACCAAACCATTCCAAAAAGATTACAGTAAATAATACCAGGGGCCTAGCATTCTTTCCAAGGCTTTAATTCCAGCACACTATTCAGGATACAAAGTAGTTTGCCAGAGTGGCTTCACAGACTGGGGCTGTGCAGGATCACTTTGAATAGGACTAGAGGCTCTGTCATGCGCACGTCCAGCCTTGGCTTCCTGTTGGCATGTGCCAGAATCTCAGCTCTCCTGGAGAAATCGGGAGTAGGCCTCTGTTCTGGAGGGGATTTCTTATTGACTGTGTGTATGCATCCAGGAGGTTTGTTAATATTATGAAAGAGGTGGGAGCTCTGCAAAGATTTGTCTGCATAAGTCTGAACAGTGCCAGACATAATTTGGAGGCCTTGAAAGTTGAACCAGCCACAATGAGGACAGTGATCTACAGAGCTGCTTCCACAGCGTTAGTCTAATAGATGCACACAGGGAACCTGTGCCCTTTAAAAAACTGAGTGTGTAGTGTTAATTCCAGACGGAGAAGCTAAATCACCCCCTCCTTTATTTACAGAAGCTATTGCATTTCATCACCCACATGAGGGATGACTCCTGAAATGCATCAGGCACAAATTCTGCACAATTCTACTTATATGTGGAATCTAAAATTTCCAAGTCAGAAGCAGAGCGTAGATGGTCATTATCAGTGGCTGGAGTGGTAGGGAGATACTGGTCAAAGTATACAAAGTTTCAGTTAGACTGGAAGAACACTTAAGAGCCCTACTGTATAACATAGTGATTACAGCTAAGAACAATATTTGAAGATTCTTAAGAGAGTAGATTTCAACTGTTCTTACCACAGAAAAGAGTAGTATGGGGGCCGGGGATTTAGCTCAGCGGTGCCGCCGCCTGCCTCCCAAGCGCGAGGACCTGAGTTTGATCCTTGCCACTGAAAAAAAATTAGAAAAGATTAGTATGTGTGTCAATAAATACCTTCTTTTCCCCCAGTACCAGGGATCGAACCCAGGACCTTGTGCTTGCAAGGTAGGCACGGTGCCATTGAGCTAAATCCCCACTCCTTTTTTTTTCTTTCTTGACACAGGGTCTCACTACGTAGTTCAGTCTGGCCTTGAACTCACTATATAGCCCAGGCTAGCTTCAAATTTGAGGAAATCTTCCTGCCTCAGCCTTCAGAGTGCTGGGATGATAGCCGTGTGCTGCCACACTGGGCCAATGAATATATTAGTTGGCTTGCTGTAGCCATTCCATAATATATAAATATTTCACAACATCATATTGTACTTCTTAAATATATTCAAGCTTTTACAAATAGAAAGGATACAATATTATGTGCTAAAAATAACGATAAAATCAGAGACTCACAAAAAATTAAAAAACAATCTTACCATTTGACTTGGTGAGAATTTATAGAGCTCTAATGAAAAAGACCATGTATTTATGTGTTCATAAAACCACTCAACCAAGATCAGGCAAAATAAGCATTAGTTACATGGCACTAAATGAACTGATGAAAACAGTTGTGCATTTTTTATTTTAAACAATTCTGGGTTTTTAGAGTTTTTTTCCAGATACAAGTAAAACTATTTCTAAACAATCTTCAGAAAAGTATAATCATTTCCATCAGCTCATTTAGTTGTATAAAATTAATGCTTACTTTGTTCAATCTTTCTTTAGTTATTGAGGTTTAAGGAAACCCATTTTCTCTTAATGTATGTATACCTAAGAGTATTTTGGTAGATTATAGTTTTATAAAAAAATTAAAACAATTGTTTTCCCTAATTCTCTTAGAGATTGGAAGCTATTTGTAAGTATGCCCATTTTTATGATAATATTTGAATAAATATTTATATAAATAAGAATCTGTTCCCTTTGTAACAGGACATAGTTGGGAACATTATTTGTATTTTCATGTATTTGACTGGAATGTCATACTTGAGAACAGTGTGAAAATCAGATATGAGCAAATGGCTTTAAGGAAGTGAGGGTGACTTTATAAGGAGCTAATGCAGAAGAAGTCTCTTTGGAAAAAGAAACTGGCGCCTGGGACGCTTTATGCACTGGAAGGCCATGAACCTCAGCATATCTCAAGGACTTCAAGGAGAGAGGAATTCACCCAAATGTACAGGTACTGAGGACAAAACCTTACAGAAAGATTTACCTGTTTTCCTAGGCTTCAGGGGTTCTAAATGTCTAGTCAGTGGCTATTTATGAAAAGTTCCAGCAAAACAAACTTAAAATAAGCTTGAGAAGACCCTGAAAGTTTCCTTGCTTACTTTATTCCTCCCTCCCTACCTTCCTCCATCCCTTCCTCTTTTCCGTGCTGAAGCTTGAACCCAGGCCTAGCACATGCTCTACCCCTTGAGTTTGCCCTCCGCAAAGAAATCACTATTGCCACTAAACTTAGATGCATAATCAAGGCACTTTAAGGAGAATATTTTCCTTTTGCAAAAGGAGACCAAAATAAGACCTCAAAATACAATCAGAACAAAACAAAACAAAATCTTACTTTCATTATCTTTGATAGAAATGGTGAAACAATAGACAAATTATATTTCAATGGAAAACACATTTACACAAAAGTCACCAAACAAATGGTTTATCCTGCTAATATGAATTTATTTATTTATTGTTTGGAATTTATTTATTTATTTGAGATAGGATCTTGCTATGTAGTTAAGGCTGGCCTTACACTCACTATGTAGCACAGGCTGGCCTCGAACTCATGGCAATCCTCCTGCATCAGCCTCCCAAGTGCTAGGATTACAGCTGTGTGCCAGTACGGCTGGTGCTAATAAGAATTTATAAACACAGGGACAAGGAAAAAATTTATCATTTAAATTAAAAAGGTACTATAGAGAGTAATCCTGGAGGGCTGACTTTGGTAGTAATTTTACCTTTTGCTGGCTTTTTCGCATTTGCAGGTTCAGAAGCAAGTGAGGTGTCTCACTAACTGTATGTTGGTGCCAGAAATAGCAGAGACCAAAGAGGAATGTTTTCTTCACCCATAGGAAGGTTCATGGCTGAAATGCCTATAAAAAAAAGACAAATTCACAAGAGAAAAGCGTAAAAAATATAATCAACATAAGTTTGAAGTAATGTGGGAGCCTTCAGAAATGAAGACCTAGAGCTGGGGATTTAGCTCAGTGGTTGCCCCACCTGCTCTGTGAGCACAAAGACCCAAGTTTGATCTCCGGCATCAAAAAAAAAAGAAAAGAAATGAAGACCTAAAGACCTGGGGACAACTGTATTTTTTTTTTTTTTTTGTACCAGAGATCAAACTCGGGTCCTTTCACTTGCAAGGCAGGTGGCGGAACCACTGAGCTAAATCCCCGGCCCTGAATTTTTATGAACAGTCAAGAAGTGTAACAGGTTATGTTCTAATGGTAATAAACAAGGGGGAACTTAGCTGGGCCTGTTTGTTCAGGTTCTTATTGATCTCTGGGTATAGAGCAGGATCTCTCAGAGATTAGTTTTAGGAGCCAGTTTCAGGAGCAGGAGGTCAGAAGGTTGTTTTATGACTTGCTTCAAGGGAGAAGAGTAGGAGCAAGTGAGAGTGACATTTGTACTTTTGTATTTTCTCAATTAATTCAGCTGAAAATTCTTAAATACCAACATGCCATGTTTCAGGATACTATGTTTGATACCTGATACCCCTTCTGAGACAGCAGTGTGAGCATCTAGTGCAGCTCATTTAGTCTAGACCAAAGGGAAACTATAAGGTATCTGGGTCCTGGTTTGTGTGATTGACTCATTCCATCCCTGATCTGCCTGTGTTGAGAGTCCACGTTGCTGGCTAAAGATAAAATCAGTGTAGTTTAAAATTAACAAAATTAATGTTTTGGCATAACAAAATTCTCACAGGAAAAAAGTTTCACCAAAGCAGAAAAATGTCGACATTCTTAGTAAGTTACAGTGTTTTGGAAATACAAAATCTTGTCTCTACCTACACTGTGTAAGGTACAGTGTTTGTGTGTATATAAGGAAAGTGTGGTTCGTGGTGTCATGTTCCCATACCATAATCAAGTTAGGAAAATGGGGGTTTAGGGGTATATCTCAGTGGCAGAGTTCTTACTTGCCTAGGATGCAGGAATCCCTTGGTTTTATCTCTTGCAACACATACACACAAACACAGTAGAAGCAATGTTGAATATTTGTTGGAAGCTGCTCTTCTGCACTTACACAGTTACCTCCCCCCTTTTTTTTTGGTACCGGAAATTGAACTTGGGTCCTTGCACTTGCAAGGCAGGCAGTGGAACCACTGAGCTAAATCCTCGGCCCTACCTCCCATTTTTATTAGTACTTTTACCAGACAATAACAAGAAATGGATTGAATGCAGTAACAACTAAGAATAGGGTTCCACACTACAAAGACACAGAGGACACCAGACCACCAGACCAAGGTACTGAGTCCCACTGTTCCTGGCCCAGAGGTAGGGACTTCTGAGCCGTTGTCCCACTGCTCCTGGTCCAGAGGATGGGGCTTCCCAGTCACCATCCCTCCCGCTGCTCCCAGCCCAGAGGAAAGGGCTTTTTGGCCACATTCTGTCCCGCTGCACCTAGCCCAGAGGAAGGGGCTTCCAGGCCACCATCCCTCCCACCACTCCCAGGCCAGAGGGAGGGGCTTCTGAGCTGCCATCCCACTGCTCCTGGTCCAGAGGAAGGGGCTTCCCGGCCACCATCCCTCCGGCTGCTCCCAGCCCACAGGAAAGGGCTTTTGGGACACCATCCCTACCACTGCTCACGGCCCCTGGCCCACCTCACCCAGCACAGAGGAGGTAATCGATGCAGGTGGTAACAGCCCCCTGGCCCAGTCAAAATGAGAAAACATGTAAATAAGTCTCAAAACCAGACTTCCAAATCACCTACAGTAACCCCAAAGGGAAATGAGATGGAACACTCTGATACTCAACCACCTGGACCCACTGAACTGGCAACAAAAGGGGATCTGGAAA